GTATTGATTTAAAGTGAGCAGTTAGATTTTCTGTAATGACATTTATTAGGAGGTGACCTCCCCAAAAATGCAGAAGTGACTGTCTTCTTAAAATAATTAATTTATGTTAAATTTAGGATGCACTAGTCTAGCTGTTTCAGTTTATGTAAATATATCAAGGCTGCACAAACATTTTCTCCAAAATGAAAATCTATCTGAGGGCTGCGGCCAAATGCAAAATATAATTCATTAAATACAAATACTTCTTATGTACAGAAGTTTTATTTTAATGATTATGTCCTGCTGGAGTGGGACATGATTTGTTTGTGTACAAACTAATACGGTATCAGAATTTTATAAATTTATACTTCTCATTCAACCACAATTAAATTCACTCTATCTAGGAGGCACAGTTTATATGGATAGTATTTATTTTTTACAATAACAAGCTGGAATGAAAACAAGCAAAAATGAAGTAAAAGTAACAACTTTCTACTTCTTGCCTTTTTTTAAAATGTAAGAAGTAAAAAGTACAGATAACTGTGTGAAAATGTAAGAAGTAGAAGTAAAAAGTGGGTTGAAAAATAATTACTCAAGTAAAGTACAGATACCCAAAAATTCTACTTAAGTACAGTAATAAAGTATTTGTACTTAGTTACTTTACAACTCTGTCCACTGGTAAATATTTCTTATTATTTATGACAGYTATGAATTGAGAAATACAGTATACTTTATTAGTTGAAGTCATTTTGCAACTAGCAACTGACTTCAGGTTTGTTTAGATCATTGTTATTTATAACTTATATATATTTGGTATAAATCTGCTGTTTTACAGGATTGTTGAATGAAATTAACATAATTATTTATTTACTGTAAAAGTAATAATTTGTAATACAGATCCACAGGTCRCAGTTTTTGCTCCTCTGTGCTGTCACAGATGCTAACWGTGGACAGGATGGGCRGGGCTCAGTCTAGTGTTATGTAACTCTATGGTTGGCACTCAGTCAAGCTTTAAAACTCTGGGCACAACTTAAATTTTTCTGTGACTTCCTGGGACAGCGCCATGAACACGACACGTACCACCACATCTCAGAGTCATGACCAAAAGAGCCTTTTTACTGACATCAGTATCATTACCTGCAGGCTTCTACACTGTTATCTTTATAAATCTATCCTCATAGTCTGCGCTCCCAAGATTTGATTTATTTCAGTGTCCTCTTAGTTCACACAGAACTTAAAAAAAAAACCCTCATATTCTGCTCCATCTTCCTGGAGTTCACTTCAGCAAGAACTGAAACTGACCAGTTTGACCCAACTGGGACGTTTTAAACAAACTTTAAAGGAAATGGGAAAAGCTTGTTTTGTTTTTAGATTTATGTTTGTTTAACTTTGCTCTGTTTTGAATGCCTACGTGTCTTTTAAATGTTTAATATTTTTGTGTAACTCATGTTTTGTACGTTTTCCTCTTTCCATCACTTTCTCC